ATATTGACTCTCTTAGTTCTTAATATTCTCGTACCTATAAAAATTCATATCTTTAATGCATACAAAAAAAAACGTTACTGTACACCTTTTTTCAAAAAGTACCTTCATGTATAAAAATGTAAATATCTAATGATTACACGAATTTATATCGATCAATAAATTCTATTAGAAATCTTAAAAGTATGCAGCTTATACTAACACGATGCATAAATAATTAGTTTATGATTTTCATTTCTCAAAAAGTGTATATATAACAAAAACAAACTGTGGAGTGAGATATCTCGTTATAATACCTACATCATATATATTGCATGTATCAACTTCAATGATATAAGATATCTAAATTGCACAGTTTGCTTCCGATTCATATAAAAAATATATGATAGTTTAAGTAATATTCAAACACATTTACATTTGTCGCGTTATTCTTAACTATACAGACATAAAAGAAATAGAACAATATCAAAACTTTACTACTTAGGGTAAAAAACCTTACTCATGTCCGATTTTATCATTGAATTAAGTATTATGATTTCTCTTAACAAAATAGTATTATTTGTTCTTAGTTTAACTATTAACCTAAAGTAATACTAACAGACGTATATCACTAAAACTTGTACAAACTCGATATTCGTAAAAAAAAAATTATAAACTCTTTTGAGAATTAAAGTGTTCTTTACGTCGTCTTTTATAATATAACATTTAATCAAATGAATTTTAACTTTTTTCAAAAAAATTATATCTAAACAACTTTTTTTTTAATAGCTGCATTTTGATTCGTTAACAAAAATTTGCCTCCATGTTACAATGAACAGTGACTGGAGCTAAAACATGATGGGGAGAGCCTAAATGAGTGGTCGGGGATGAGAGACAAATAGATCGTCTTCTCAGATCAGGTTCGGTATTACTACCGACTACTAATAATGGTTCAGCGAACGTTTGCTGTTCAGAATCATCATGGGGTGTCATTGTACTGTATCCATGATCGCTATCTCCACCAGGTGGTTTCCTATAATTTGTAGAAACCTTGTATGGTGATATAGGCGCTATGCCATCCCTTATGAGAGAATCTAAATTATTTTTCGTCTGCTCTAGCTCCATAGGTTCTACATCGCCTTCCAAATGTGTCATGCGTAACGTATCAGGTGACGTATGTATATGCAAACACTGATGCTCTAACCCTGATTGAACAGATCGAAGTCTATAACAGAACAACATTACACCTAGTATTAAAAGAAATGCCAATATTCCTCCAGCTACCGGTCCAACCGATGGCCATTCCCGCACTGCGATGTCATCTGTTGATTGAGAATCTGAAAAAGAATGATTGCATTCATGAAAAAGAATAGTAAAAAATAAGCATAATAAAATGTATAACAAATTTAATTACTGTATGTTCCATCGCTAAGAGGCATGAAAGATCCCAGAATGCCTCGGAAACATCGAGACATATCGTTGCAATAAGGAGTTTGTAATGGCGTCTCTCCGTCATTGTCAACATGGCACCACTGACAACCCACAATTCCTAAACATTCGTTATCTGTCTTGAACATTTTACAATCAATGGACGGACACGTTTTCAGGTTTGTAGATTGTATCCAAGACATCTGCGAATTTCCTCCTTGTTCGTACGGCACTGGACAAGGTTCGAGATCATTCATTTCGTTTGTATTGTATTCTGCACAATTTGAATAGTACAAAGCACATTCACAGGGGCATTCACATTCAGTTTGCTCCATTCTTTTACAGTTCAAACATGAGCGGTCCATTGTGCTACATGGACAGAAAGCTCTTAATAAACTGCAGGTCACGTTAACTACACCTAAGAACACATTCGTTCCCGGTACAGCTGCTACTTGATACTTAACGCAATGTTCGCCATGAACTATATTGGTAAGCACTTCGTCAAGCGAGGTATTAAATTGATAATATCTTTGCACGGTACCGTCTAAGTAATTCGCGCAAGCTTTCTTTTTTACGAAAAGCTTGTGGTTCAGGATGTCGTTTGTTACCAACAATTCTTTATGAGTTAAGTGTTGTTGCTCAATTTTACCAATTGGCTCTAAAAGTGCTGGGTGTGACACTAAATATCCCTTATCATCCATTAAAAAACATTTTACCGTCGAGTTATTACAAAATGGAAACATTTCTTTCAAAAGTCTTGAAATAAAACCCAGTGCAACGTCCATAGACACAACAGCAATAGCATCATTGTTCGTGGTTGATTCTGAACTACGATAAACAGGATGACTCAGAGTGACAACGTATCCAGAACCACCAGCACCTAAGTATGGAGGTGTGAAAACTAATTTTCCTAGATGTTCCAACGCGTTTCCATACCATATTCTTCTTTTAGGATCGAAACCAGAATCCAGCATAATTCCTGGATATATCTCTAAGACTCCACTCACAGTTCCAACAATGTATCTATAAATGTAATAAAAACATTAGTACTTTTACAATATTAACGCGTGTTCTTTCAAATAATTTAAATTATACCTTCTTATTATAAACTTATTTAAAGCACTTTCTATGTGTCTACTTTTAAAGTAACCCAACATTTGAGTCAACATAGCTACGTCTGGTCTGACAGACTGATGTAAACCAGGATTGGCTAACAATCCTGTTAAATCCTTCAAGTATGCCATATAACTCTGCATTGTCACGGCAATTCCAGTTTCCAACAATTTAAATTGTTCTATTGGAGATTGGAAGCACCATGGAGAAAGATAGACAACTCCTGTTGCTAAAAAATAAGTATATTTCACCTTAAAATGTTTTCTTAATTGTGTAATGCATTTTCGAAAATAATTAACTTACACAAAGACAAAAGTTTATTATGATAAGTGCATAAAATGCCTTTGTCGGCAATACTGTGTATCAAGAGGTCAAGACGATGATGTAAAATATTCATTGATAATGTTGGCACTAATTTTGCAACGGGTAGTACACTTTCGTTGGTTGCTGACACCAAGCATACTATTAAATCTGTGTATGTCAAATGTTTCCATCGATACCACTTCTAAAATGTGAAATCTAAATCAATATGAGTTTTATGCATGTACAGTATGTTCGGTTTATCTCATAACACGGAAGTATCTCGAAAACTACGAATGATACAAAAAAATGTTTCAGATGAAAGTTGTCGAGAATAAAGAGCGACATATTGCTCTGGTATTTTTTTAACCTTATGACCTTGAAAAACTTTGTAAATGTCATGTTTAAGTTTTTAAATGAAAACATATATTTTTGATTATGTATTCTTGTAGCTGACATCGAGATGTTTTCAAAACACTGTATACTTGTAGTTTTGCGTAAATTATTATCGAGATATCAGCTTCCAAGTTTTACATGTCGCCGGCATTAGCGTTACTCGATGTACACCGCGGGGACAGATGAACATGTTTTTCATAATGCTACTACTGACATAGTATTGCCGGAACATAAAGTCACAATTTTCCAATGTTTCGAAAACATTGTCCGACTAAGTAACCTCTCCGCGGTGTACATCGGGTAACGCTAATGCCGGCGGCATGTAAAACTTGGAAGCTGATATCTCGATAATAATGTACGCAAAAGCCGCAAGTATGCAGTATTTTGAAAACGTCTCGATATCGGCTACAAGAATACATAATCAAAAATATTCGTTCCCATTTAAAAATTTAAATATGACCTTTACAAAGCTTTTCAAGATCATTGCAAGGTTAAAACGATACCAAAGCAACATGTCGCCCTTTATACCCTACAACTTTCGTCTGAAACATTTTTTTGTATTATTCATAGTTTTCGAGATACTTCCGTGTTCTGAGATAAACCGGACATACTGTATATAAATGGCGATATACCTGTTTCCCTAGATGTGTTTTCACATTCATAGTACCCTCGTGTTCCTGAATCATTGTCCTTACTTTTACAGGACTAATATTCTCTATATGGTGTAAATCAACTTTACGTGGCTGGTCCATCATTGTCTCCGTTCGCGGAAAATCTTTGTGAATCCAAACTATACCTTTGCTATCGAACAGTATAGCGTATACATGTACACCAGCATTAAAATATGTTATGTCATCAAGGAAATTCTGTAGTTTAATATTCAAGGATATTAATGCTTTGTCTGTAACATGACCAATAGACAAAGTCATTGTTTTACTGTATAGATCAAAATATGGATCGGACAAATAATAATCTTTCTTATGTTCTTCAGAACATTTTAAGTCAGAAAATAACTTTGCTATCTCATAACCAAGTATATTCTGTGTTGGAAGAGTTACAATGCTGTCACTGTATTCTTTAGTGTTGGAGTGTGGCTCCTGGTCTACAAAAGGAAGCATTATATTAATAATACATCACTAAGGAGATGCACTCAGTTAAACTCACCTGAAAGAATAAGTACTGTTCTTAAGTAACCGTTTATTTTTCCTGTAGAAATCATGTTTCTTATCTTTTTTAAATGTGAAGCTTGTTTCAATGTATTTGTTAAATGTATGAATACCACTTCACCTTTTATATATTGTAGTAACTTATTAAAATCAAAATCAACTGTATCATTTGTTTCTGAAATTTGAAGAAAAATATTTTATAAATCTGTAATAATAAAACTGATAATGATAATATGCATGACATAAAATGACTTGTACCTGTCCTGGTCAAACTATAAATAAATCGTGCTAATTGAAACTTATTGATATCTGTAGCTTTTAATAAACCATCCTTACAATGTACAGTATTATTAGCAGAAAGACCAATGACATTAACATAGTCTGTCTGGGACAGCATGTCAATTATCCTCTCTGCAGTTATTTGAGCCAGAGTAATATCCCCTTCAGACATACATATGCCATGTTCAATCATCAAGAGGACATTCTTTCTTGAACAATACTGAGATAATAAAAGGGGTCCAATATTGTGCCCTGCATTAGGAGGACCACACATAGTGGCTGGATACATAAAAGGCAACAGATGCAAATTCTTCCATTCCTGATTTCTCAAATGAATTGCTAATTCTGGAACACAGAAAATATCAGTAGATTAGACTTTACAGTCTATTAAATAAATCTACATTTCATACCTTGTGTAATCTGTGAGCAGAAGTCAGACAATCCATTTGATACTAAGTCTAATCCCCCTATAGATCCTGGATACTCAAATTGATTTTCACTTTTTGTTAAAATAGGCTGTACAATGTTATAGCTCTGTTTCAGAAGTTCAGCATAGGACAACAACTTATTGTTCAATGTATCTACCAGTAAGCTCAACCTCATGTTCAAACTACTTGAGACATTCATGAACTCCATTTCTCCCAGCATTTTTTGAAATGGTTTCAAACCAAGTTCCGCATCCGTGATTGAACGAAACTCGTTCGATAGTCGAACTACAATTTCACGTAAACAGGTGCCATTTATTGGTTCCACATTGACCTGTTTTCGCAGGCTTTTACCGAATTGACACTTTGCATCCGTATTGGAGCTTTCATCGGCTGAACCATGCAAATTTATCAGTACCGTTACGAAGAGTCCTAAATGCAAGATTCTCTTGACAGTCATTCTGTCAACTGGCTTTGTCACGCAGAGAATTCAGACACACTGTACGAAGTTGACATTGGTGCTTCGAAAGACACCTAAAACCTTCGGATAATCGTTAATGACCGTGATATTTAATCGACAATGATTAATTGAAGCAAACAAGCGAACAAACGACCATTCTGTTTTTCAGTTTACACCTGTTAGCCTGTAACCTTAAAAATTCGTTATGCCGCCATAACGACGCGGTCACCACAAACAAGGTTGACAAGTGCATAACTGGAAATATTACTTTCCTAGTCCTATCACTTTCTAAATGAAACCCAACCGATCTGTCCTTAGTATTACGAATATGTTTTGCGGTTTTAGAAGCCTACCATTAATTCTCTCTTCGATATTGCTCCTTTATTATCAATGTTCTAATTTTTGTATAAGAAATTATAATAGATGAAATCGTAAATCTTTTCCGTGGAAATACATTACGAAATAAAGAATTTGATAAAAAGAAAAGAGACTCTAATAAAATAGGAAAAATTATTTGGTAGAGTGAAAGCACAATTACTGAATGTAAATAAAAATTATGATAAATATTCATTAATAATCGATGATCGAATTTTGCATTGCTGATATTTTCTTCAAAAAAAGTTATTCTTAAATTTATAGATAATAAGACTAAACAATTATAAATTATTAAATATATGGTTTTCAATGTATTATTTGGAATTTTATCAATTAAAATATTTAAGTCATGGAATTGTTATGAGACTCTTTGATAAATCAATAGGCGGTATTGAAAAATGAAATGTTCCTGCTTTTATACCAACCTATACCACAGACAAGATACAGAATAGACCTATCATCTTATGGAACTTTATGTCTCACGTTCTGAAGTACCGGTCGTATCAAAAATCAGAGGTTTTGTTATGCCCTCTACGATAATAGAGTGGTGAGTTTAGGAATTATATACAATCCAACCATCAAAGCTGGTAAAGTTAACAGATGTAAAAGATTCTTTTTTGTTAAATCCGTATATAAAGATAAATATTTACATACATATATTGCATTGCGTGGGTTGAATTTTGGCGATCTCTCGACAGCAGTACAACACGCGCATGGGATGAATCATCCAGTAATGATGTATTATGTTCTCATACTTTTTATTACAGTATAATGATAATTATTTGAATTTTTCGCTTTTAATAATAATTACTGTAAATTAGAGCATAATTGCATGTAATAAGCAGTTTAAAATTGATACTTATAATAAATTTTTAATTGCTTTTACATTACTTATAATTTAGATAGTGAAGTAAAGTTCCTATTTTATTTTCAAATACTTTAATTGTAGAATAATTACTACTGCTTATTAAATAACAAATTTAGATGGTAGTTTGTAATTATTGGAAGTATGAAATAAATTTGTTGCATGGTTTAACTTAATAAAACACCTTACTTTATTAATTTTGAATTGAATTAACAATTGCATGCAATAGATTAGTTAGAAATTGTTTATAACTTTGATTGAAAATTGAAAAATTCATATTCTTTTTGTGTGAATTACAGATGGAACTTTCAGGCCACCACAGGAATCAAGGAAAGGACTTCAACATTAGAAAAAATGAAGAAATGCAGTTATTTATCAAAAAATCAATTATTTATTGCAGGATAACTGTACAAAATGTATTTTACAAAAGGTTACAACATACCAGTGTTGTTTCACAGCATTTTATAGTCCATTCATTTCTCCCGTATACACCACACCCATTTCCTGTTGCAAAGCACTTATTCTTTGAATAATATTCCATTACAAAATTAAATAAACTAAATTCGGATAGTGTTAGGAACACGTAAAAATCAAAAAAATCGCAAAAATCCCCAAATTCGTGTGAAAAATTTCGAAAATTGCGTGGAGAATGTAGACTACTTAAAGCGGTAGAAATTCGAAAATAGAAAATTATTAATGGTTTCGAAGTTGATAACTTTTTTATGTGGTTAGGATGTGTTAGAATCGGAAAAGTGAACAGCATAACAGTTTCTGCTCACAATCAGAATTACCATCCCAATCAACTGTTTGTTCATCCGTTTGAAAGCAACCGTTTGTAAGAATGAACAAGTATTAGATTGATCGATAAGTTTTGTCATCACTTTTCTCGTGGACATTTCCGTGGCAACTCCATTCAAAGATTCTAATAAATGACAAGAAGCTCAAATATATACTCTTTCTAATTGTTAAAATATGGACTATAAAAATAGGGTGCAATGTTTACAAAAACGTTATTTAATGAACATCTTGTATGATAAAATGCTTTGTTGGCATTATATTTTGTACAGCTGTAAGATAGGTAAACTTGAGACAGAGGAAGCTGAAAATTTATATCAGGTTTTCGGTACAGATATTACTGTACATCTGTGCGCAAACTGAAAAAGTAGTTCAAAAAATTTCGATTAAAAGATATTAGCCTTGGCAATGAAGCCTGTGCCGGCAGATCAACTGTTATTCATACTGATGTTATTTGGACCAAGTTGGCATAAAACACCTTGGTCAATAATAGTGGAAGATATTTATTAGCCTGGCCCAATAGAGTAATTATACGAATACAGTTTAGCAAGTAGAAAGGAAAGAGCATTCTACTGCAACAATGGTGGTTCTTACGTACATACCGGAGGACTCAGTACAAGTTGAATAAAATAGGACAAAAAATAATATGTCATCTATCATATATTTTTGACCTCGCATCATCTGACTACCATCTAATAAAATTTTTCGACAATTCGTTAATAAAAAAAACTTTCACGTTGAAAATCAACTTGCCAACATATTGCAAGAAATTTTAATCGTAAGAAGACAATTATAAGTAACAATAAATGTTATAACACAGATTAATTGATAAAAGTTTCATTGAAAAAACCTTGGTTTATTTTCTTTGAAAATAAAACAATAGAACTTTCCGATCAACCTAATATAAGTATATAACAGGGTATCTCAACTAAAGCAGGCCACCTAAATATCTCCTTTGTTTTTAATGACAAGAAAACTGTTTATGGCACAATTTGAATAGTTTCAAAAGAGGAA